TCGTCGTCATGAAGATCAATATCCAAATAAGAAAAAAAAATTATTCATAAATTATGAAAAATTAATTAATTAAATTATTATTAACGTTTTCAAAAGAATTCACAAACACAAACACCTCTCTCTCTCTCTCTCTAAACTACTGGAAGAATCACCGTAAATTAAATCTCTTTTTTAACCGAATGTTTATGGTAATCGTTTTTTTTTCGTTCGTTCATTCGTTTGATTTTGATGCTATTTTATTTTTTGATTTCAATTTAATAATAGTGATTTATTGCATATATGCATTGTTTGTTTGTTTGTTTGTTTGTTTGTTTGTTTGTTTGTTTGTTCAAAGGTGTTTGATAATTTATATTCAACATTTTCATTGTTTTTTTTTCGCCGTATGTTATCTGAAATAAAACAGAAAACAGAAAATTCAATTTAAAAATGTTATCAACAACAATGTCAATTATCAGCGATAGAGAAATAAAGCACTTTATTTAAAATTCGTCTTTTTTTTATTTATATAGATCATCATCATCATTTTTTGCACCTCAAACAGCACAAACAATACAAATAGCCTTTGGGCAGTATACTGAATGAAATGAAAATGAAATGATTCACACATTTTTGATCAAATTTCATATATGAATGGCTAGGTTTTTTCTGCTTCAGTACTAAAACAAAAAAAACAGAATTGTTCTTTGTTTCAAAATATAAACAGACATTTACAAAATTTAATTTTTTTTTCGTGGAACTTAAAAACTTGAAAAGAAGAAAAAAAAAGTTACTTACATGAGATACGGAATTCTGCAACTTTTTCTTTTCTTTTTTTCATTTTTAATAGAATCAATCCAGAATCAACGAATAATGAAAACCGAGAGTTCATGTTTCATCAGAAATGATATCGAGTTCACTGAAAGAAAAAAAAACGGATAAAAATAGAAAATTCAAATGAAAAATGAAAAGAATTCTTTTGAATTTTTTCGAAAATAAAATATCACTAAAAAAAAAGAAAGAATATTTTCTGTCATCTAGTGTTAATCGAACGAAATAATCACATAACGTTTTATATGAATAGTATTTAGACACCGCCAATATATATGTGTTCGAAAAGTAGTAGCATTGATTTGAATTGAAAAAAAAAATAAAGAAAAACAGTTAATGTGAATCACCGGTGATTCGATCGAAAAATGACACACACACAGACAATATTCAAGTTTTTCTCACTATCTTTAATCAATACCACTATGTTTTTTTTTTTTTGGTTGTTGTTGTTAACTTGTTATCCGTATAGGGCGCTACTCATCATTTTTTATTGTTTGGTCGATTTTTTTTTCTTCTTTTTTCTTCTTTTCCATTTTGCTTTTGGTTATATGGGAATTTCAATGGTTTCTATCAATAGCAGCAGTAAGCAGCAGCCAGTAGCTCCTCTATGTTTTTTGTTATCTCAATGCAATACAAAAATCTGACGTGGAAATTATCATCATAAAGTCAACGACGACGACGACAAATTATTTTGTAAATGTGATGTGTGTTTTCATTTTTTGGGTTTGATTGATATTCGATTTAATTTTGTTCGGAAATCATCATCATAATCATCATCATTAGAAAAATTTGTGTTTTCGAATCCCAAAAAAAATTATTATTATTTATTAGCACATTCACATTTACATTCATCTTTATCCAATCATCATCATCATTATCATCGAAACTATATTCAACCTGTTTTTTTTCTTTAATTTGGATGTGAATTTGCTTTTTTGATACACATCTTTTTGTTGTTGTTGGGAGGTTAGTTGATTCAAGTTTCAGATTGATTTTGTGGAGCTGTGTTCCATGTGTTTTGAGTGTGTTTTGTGTGTTTTGATGACGAGTAATTACATCAGTCTTTTTTTTCTGTTTTGTTTTGTTTTTCTGATCATAGATTAATTGGCATACAACAACAAATCTTTGCTTGAATTAACCAAAAAAAAGAAGGTAAAATGATTGTGATTAAATGTAAATCAATGTTTAATTGAAGGATTTTGTTTTTCCAGATATAGACGCCCATCAGATTTACAATTTTAACATTTTTTTTAGTCATTCCAACTTGATCATCTTTAACAAAATTTGAAAAAAAATTGCAGTGCTCATCTTTGAAATTCATCTTATTAATTACTAAATAATCACTGAATTTAAAAACAAACAAAATGGGAAACGTTTTTGCAAATCTATTCAAAGGCCTTTTTGGTAAAAAAGAAATGCGAATTTTGATGGTCGGTTTAGATGCGGCCGGTAAAACAACAATTTTGTATAAGCTTAAACTTGGTGAAATAGTCACTACAATTCCAACTATTGGTATGTTGTTTTAATTTGTTATTTTTTTCATTAATTCCATTTTTCTTTTTGTAAAATTCTATTCAGGATTCAATGTTGAAACAGTTGAATATAAAAACATTAGTTTTACTGTTTGGGATGTTGGTGGACAGGATAAAATTCGTCCATTATGGAGGCATTATTTTCAAAATACACAGGGCCTTATTTTTGTGGTCGATAGTAATGATCGTGAACGTGTTGGTGAAGCACGTGAAGAATTGATGCGTATGTTGGCTGAAGATGAATTACGTGATGCTGTACTATTGATCTTTGCAAACAAACAAGTATGTTTTGGTTTTTCTTATTAATCTAATTTAATCTAAATTGATTTATTTCTTCCTAATTAAAGGATTTGCCAAATGCAATGAGTGCGGCCGAAATTACCGATAAACTTGGTCTTCATTCATTGCGTAATAGAAATTGGTATATTCAGGCAACATGTGCTACGACCGGTGATGGTCTTTATGAAGGATTAGATTGGCTTTCTAATCAGCTTAAATATCAAAAATGAAGCATTTTTTTTCATCAACAATCATGATCAACGGATAACAACAAAAAAAACAAATGAAAAAAAAAATAATAATAAGAATTTCCTTCATCACCTTATCCTTATTATCCTTTCTTTATCGTTCTCGCTCTCTTACAAATGTTTCACATTTTTGATGATGATTTTATAAATATAATTAAAATATTGGATTTGAAAAAATAATAACGATAATTATAATCAACCAACCAACCAACAAACCAATTCATTTTGATCAATGTGAAAACAAAACAAAACAAATGAATTCAATGCCACACACACACATACACGATACACACAAACATTAACCAACACAGAATTCATCACTGATTTCTTTTCTTTTTTATAATAAAAAAAAATAAAATAATGAAATTCCGAACGCGACAATTGTTGTTTTTTTCGGTTGATTGATTCGTTCCATAAACAACAACAACAGAAAACATTTTTTTTCACAAATGCCATTCACACACACACACAAGATTTAAATCAATTTTCAATCACACACACACACACACCTGCGAATGATCCAATATTTAAGATGTTAAAGGATTAATGGGATCAATCAACCAACAAACAAACGATACACACATCCATCATTTTACATGATCCGTATGAAAAACAAAACAAAACAAAATAATTTGATTCTTTTTTTTTCATTCTTTTCTTTTCTTTTTTAAATATAGATTTTTATTTTATAAAAAAAAAACAATGCAAAATAAATTCCTTTTGTTTCTCTCTCGGTCTCTTTTTAATCATTCATTCATTCGTTCAAAGTTGATTCTTGATTTTTCGTTACAGGAATCGTTGTTGTTGCCTGATCTGTTTAAATCTATTGTCGATAATGATGTGTAGAAATAATTGGTGGTGTTGCATGTACTGCATTCTGTATACGTGCAAAACTTTCAGCAACAGTTGTTATACGTGGTTCTGGTCCTGATTGTTGCGGTTTAATCATCATCATTTCAATTGGTTCGGCTGATAATGATGATAATCGTGTTGATATTAATGGTGCCATATTTACCATTGATGATGTTGTTGATGGTAATGATGATGATGATGGCATTGATCCAATACCACTATTACTACCTGGTGGTAATAATGTATTAATACTTTCACCTTCAGTATCTGTATTAATTAATGTTGAATTTGTATTTTGTAATTTTTTTGCATTATTACTACTACTGGATAGATAAAGATTATCAAGATAATCTGGATGATTATTATCATAATAACCACCAATAGTTTGTTGTGGTATATAACCGGAATATTGTTGTTGATCATATGAATTTGGTGACAGTAATGATGAACCAGAATGATATGTTTGACCAAGAAATGGTGTAAGATGTGTTGAATAACTATTTCCACCACTGTATCCACCCGGTAAATGATCGTGAATTTTCGAATAAGTATGATGTATTGTTGGTTGATGATTACCATTATGATGATGACCATTATGATAATAATGTTGATGATCTAAATGTTTTTTCAATAATTCTTTTTTATGTTTTAATAAATTCATTTTGTTTAAATCTAATGATGGATAATGTGATGAATGGCCATGACCATGACCATGATCATCATAATGATCATTATCAATAATTAAATGTGGATCATTTGATTCAATTTTTGTACCATATTTTTTACTATCATAATTTTTATGCATATCCATAGTGGATTTAGATCCATGATCATGATCACCATAATATGAATGATGACCATTTTTTGTACCGCTAGATTTCCCTGTTGAATATTCTTTATCATAAACAAAATGTTTTTCATAACCATAACCACGATTACGTTGATAAACATGATGATCATTATAATCTTTATGATTACCACTTTTACCACCATATTTATCTCTTTTATGATGACCATTGTATTTATTTAAACCTTTTGTTTTGTTTTTTGAAAAAGAAGAAAAAAAAATCAAAAAATTTCCAATGAAAATCTTTTTTTTTTCTCACGCTGGACAACACATGTTTACACCGATAGATTGACCAACCAGCCAAACACAAATACTAACCTTGATCCAAATGTTCACTGTCACCATAATTTTTATAACCTAGATTTTTTTTTAAAAAAGAAAAAGACATAGAAATTAGACAGATTAGAAAAGATTTCATTTGGTTTCATTTTGTCTTTATGAAACAACAAATTAATTTTCTTTCACACTAATTTTCTCACCACCAACAACAACTATTGTATAATTTATTAACATTTAGTTAGTTTACAACTTCAAGAAATACATTACAAACAAACATAAAATAAAAATTACGTGATTTGAATATTCTTTTAATTAATTAATTGCGTTAATTAACTTTTCATCTTTTCTCTCTCTCTCTCTCTCTCTCTCTCTCTCTCTCTCTCTCATTTTTATCGTTAATAACAATCAAAATGAAAAAGTTGCTGAAATCTGAAATAAGAGATAATGATGTCANAAAAATTACGTGATTTGAATATTCTTTTAATTAATTAATTGCGTTAATTAACTTTTCATCTTTTCTCTCTCTCTCTCTCTCTCTCTCTCTCTCTCTCTCTCTCTTTTCATTTTTATCGTTAACAACAATCAAAATGAAAAAGTTTCTGAAATCTGAAATAAGAGATAATGATGTCACGATGACATCATTAAGAAAACAAAAACAAAAACAAAAAACATACCATCATTCGAAATATTATCATCACCACCATAATGTCCAAGAATATTTTTACCACCACCACTACCAATACCACCATATTTATAAAGATCATCATAACTTGATATACCACCACCATAATGACCATTATTATTATTATTATCTAAATATGATTCACCAAGTATTGGTCCTAATGCACCGGTTGTAAATGATTCTTGTGTTTTTAGATCATTATTATCATTATTATCATTTTGTTTTTGATAATGATCATTTTTTCGATCATGGTTATTAGTTAACGATAATGATGATGATGATGATGATGATGAAAAGATGATGAGGAAAATTAACCATAAAAATCTGATTGATGATGATTCAAACATGATTGATTGATTGATTGATTGATAATCAATTAAACCATTAACACAAACACACGTAAACACCGAAGGAAATCACGAAATTTCTGCAAAACAAAAAAAAAAACTTCAATTTATTTTACGAAGAATAATAAGAAAACAAGCTTTTTTCACAAAAAAATGCAAGAATCTCCCTTTTTTTGAAAAGATTTACATATGAACACTACAAAAAAAAATAAGATCAAGATTCATTTATATAGGCGCAAACAAACAAACAAACAAACGAAAAAAAATGGATCTTAAACAGAACAGAACAGAACTAAACTTCTTTTTTTTTGAAAACATCCAAAAAGAAAAACCTCTTGTCATATCGGTTAGTGTTAAAATATTATAACATTATTATTATTATTATTATTATTATTACAATTTTTTTGAATCCATTCTCACCATCATCAACAACAACATAATCTAAATCGCAAAAAGAAAAACTAACAAACTAGCAAAACTAAACTAAACTAACTAACTGCGATGTGATATGTGTGATTGACACACACACATTCATGTAATTCTTTCTTTTTTTTCATTACATTTTCTGTATTTCGCAATTTGATAATTTGAATAATGAAAATTATTCATTTAAAAAAAAATGAATGGACAATGTAAGTGATATCTTGTTGACCGATTGATGAGAAAATTTTCACTAACAGAACAGAACATAACAGAACAGAAGAAATGAACAGAACAGAACGATGTTTATGTCAAAATGATTTCAATCAATTATCGTTTCAAAGTTATTATCGTTTATCATCATCATCATAATCAACATCAACATCATTTTAAGCAAAAAATTAGTTTCGATTTAATTATTATCAATTTTTTTTTATAAAAAAAAAGATAATACTTTTTTAAAATGAAACAAAACAATTATCCTTATGATGATGATGATGATAAATGTCAAATATGTGTTCAAAATTCCAGATCTTCAAACAAAAATTGTTGCTAATTTATCAAACGTTTTGTTTTCTTCGTTGACAATTTTAGGTCAAAAGATTTTTCGTCCAGCTAGAAAAAAATCTTCAAACATTGTTGATTATTGGAAAATGAATCTTTTTTTGTTGTTGTTGTTTAATTTCACACAGAAACAAAACAAAATTGATTTGACAATCAAAATGAAAAAACCTTGAAATTTTTTTTGGATCAAAATGTCTCACGTGATGATAATGATGATTGAAGAAATAGCCATTGAAAATATTCGGAAATCAATCATCACAATTGTTTCGATGAAATGTGATCCTTTTTTTCTTCTTTCTCCTTTCTTCAAAAGTATATCATTAAAATTAATAATATATTCCATCAAATGAATGAATGAATGGTACTTGGCTGTATCAGTTTTCTTTTTTTGGGGTCAATTAAAGATTGTCGACGTTGTTGTTGTTGTTGTTGTCAAACACATAATTGTATAGCATTCTCATTGGAATATTGTGTGTCTGTTTGCTCCATAATTATTCATTCATTCATTCGATCAAATTGATTTTCACATTGAATTTTTGCATTTTTTTTTGTCAAAAATTTCTGTTGTTGCTGTTTGTTGTCCAATAATTTTAGGCTTTTGATTGATTTTTTTTTCTTTGGATTTATTTTCGGAATTTTTTTCCTTCTTTCTTTCTTTCGTTGGATTTACCTTGAAACAAAGCAAAACTTTTTGTTGGAAACTTTTTTTGTTTTTGATTTTCTTCAATGAATTCAGAAAAAAAAAAGAAAAATTTGATGAGAAAATCTTTGGAAAATCCACCAATTTGATGATAATAACGATTCGGATTTGTTTTCGTTTTCGTTTGTTTCCAAATGATTATTATTAGCTTATCTTTTTTTGGAAAAATCCAGCAAGGAGCACTGGTGATGGTAGTAAAACTTTTATTTTCATTTTTTGACCCAAAAATGACCAAATGATGATGATAATGATTGTCACAGAAAACATCATCACCATTTCTTTGATCTGATTGAACCACATTACATCCATTCTTTTTTCCCATTCTTTTTACACATTCATTAACCAACTGAAACATGGTGTTATTTTACGGTGATGGAATCTTTTTTTTAACAAAATCCGAAAAAAATAGACAATTGTCGTTGTCGTCGTCGTCGTCCATCCAACCATAACCACCACAAAAAGCAAAAATATTCGAAAGTTTTCGAAACTGGGAAAAAAACGCATTTATATATTCGAATGATACCGATTGAACTTTTGTCGAAAAACATTTGTCATTTTTTTTTTGGTTGTTCGTTTTTTTTTTGGTTTTACCGAAGAAATGATCCTAAACGTTGTTTGTTGTTGTTCCAATAATTGATCCAATGATTTCTTTAGTTTTCACGTTTTTCTACATTGATTTCTTGTTGGAACCAATTTTGTTTGTTAAAAATTAAATTTTAAATTTTCTTTTTTGTTTGTTTGTTTTACCTGTTTCAACAAGAAAACTGTCAAAAATTGTTTTGTTGTGAAAATTATCTTATTTTTCTTACGGCTGTTGTTGTTGACCACTTCCACCTTGTTGATCGTTACAGCCTGATAATTTAGTTGGAAAAAATTGTGGTCGGTCGGTTTCTTCATTAAATCATTTTTTTTGTTGACTTTGTTGAGTGTCGAGTGTTTTCTTAATGATTTTGTTTCAAAAGTTTTTTTTCTTGTTTAATTAAAATCAAACAACAAAAACAACAACGATAATAATGATGTTGATGATAATCATTACAACAATATCCATATTGATAACAAAAATTTATTCATTAAATTCAATGGCTGTCAATGTAAATGTTGTACAACCATTGAATCGTACGGCTGTAATTGGTGATATGATGACATTTAATATTTCATTAATACCAGATACAATAAATTATAATAAATATTCTGGTCAAAATTCATTATGGATGGATGATAAACAATTCCCAAAATCATCATTATCAACATTAGAATCATCAACAGCAACAAAAAAGATGGCCAAAACATTCGATGAACAACAAGATGATCCGGATAAATTCATAAAATATGTTCTACAAAAACCATTGACGGATGATGGAAAACAAACCGATGTTAGTGTTACAATTTATCATCATCAATCGATTCATGATAATCCTAATAATCCTAATGATACAAATACAAATAAAATAATCAAAACAAATCATTATGATAATGGTTATGGTTTACGTTATGGTTTCGATTTGGATGGTAAATATGTTCGTGAAAAAGGTTATAAATTTGAAAAAATGTTGGGAAAAGAATTTTGTAAAGATCAAAAATCCTGTACAACAACAGAAAAAATCGAACGACGTAATGATGATGGTGATGATCCGGATGATCAAACACCGGATACAGCATTGAAGAAACATATTCTACAACTTATTCGTCATAATAATAGCGAGAACAAGATTAATCTGGATGAATGGTTGAATAAAAAACAACGAAAAAATAAATCAAAAAAACGTCATCATCATTCAAATAAAAACAATAATAAACATCGAAATAATAAACGATTGAAAAATTCACAAAATTATTTTGATGGTCCATTTACTAAATTAGATTCATTACAAATTAAATCATCACCATTGATTGAAGAAAATCATTCATCCAAATCATTCTATTATCCGAAAACAACAAAATATTCACCTAATATTTATCCAGAAAATTATGGAAAAATTCTTCATGATTCTACGGATGAAAATCGTCCACATGAAAGTTCAGATATTATGACAATGTTTAAATGGACAAATCCACCAACAACATCAACATCATCGAATGTTTATTTTCCACATAAAATTATTCATTTATCCGATGATGAACTGGATAAAGGTAATTATCAAAAATATTGGCAATCATCATCGAAAAATTTTCCAAAACAACAACAACAACAAAATAATTCCGATCTACAACAAGAACTAAGCGAAGTAAAATCACATCGTTTAAAAATGAAAACATCAAGAATTTCCAATCATAAAATTCATCATCATTGGTTTATTAATCCAAATCTGATCAATGAATCGAATGATCGACAACAACAACAATCACAATTGCAACAACTACAACAACAACAACCGCAACAACAACAACAAAAACAACAACAAACAAATGAATTGAAAGAAACAAAAGATTTTTCCATTTCAAATAATTATCAAAATTCAATATTTGATTTAAATTTTAATCCTTATTCGAAAAAATTTATTAAAAAATTTTGAAAAAAAAAATTCAAAAAATATATTTTGTACTAGTGTTTTTGAACGGTTCATTGAAAAAACAATAAAAAAATTGTCATGCGCAAAATGCGAATTTTCAGAAACGTGTTTGCCAATATGTTGCTGGCCAGCACCAATCTTCCTTTTTCCTGTGTGTTTGCGTGTGTTGTGTGACGGTCTTTTTCACGTTGTTGTTTTTCTGTTTGTTTGTTTCATTCGGATCGTTTTCTTTCTTAATTTTTGGTTGAAAAAAATTTCGAAATTTTTTTGAAATAAAAAAAAATGAAAACGATACAAGCCAGCCAAATTGTTACGATTCCCGATAATGGTATGTTTTTTTTGATTATTTAATATCAACCTTTGAAAAATGTCTATTTTTGTTTTGTTTTGTTTTGTTTAGTCAGTGTTTCGGTAAAAAATCGTGTTGTACGTGTCAAAGGTCCACGTGGTATTTTAACACGACAATTCAAACAACAATTGGATATTGAAATGGTTGGAAAGAAAAAAGTTCTTGTCCAAAAATGGTTTGGTAATCGTAAAGAATTGGCCACCGTACGAACAATCTGTTCACATATTGAAAATATGATTGTCGGTGTAACCAAAGGTTATCTTTATAAAATGCGTACTGTTTATGCTCATTTTCCGATCAATGTAACGACAAGTGAAAAAAATTCAGTGGTTGAAATTCGTAATTTTTTGGGTGAAAAATATATCCGAAGAGTGGAAATGGCACCTGGTGTTACATGCGTTAATTCAACAGCACAAAAAGATGAATTGATTTTGGAAGGCAACGATATTGAATCGGTTTCAAGATCAGGTAAGCGAAAAAAATTCAAATTTTCCTTTTCCAATTAAATGGGCATTTGTTGCGGGAAAAATTTTTTCTCCCACAATTTACAATTAATTCAAATTTTAAAATTGTTTTAAATGTCAAAATGAAAATGCCCAAAAATTAAATCGAAATTATTTCCACGTTTTGAAGCTCTTTTTTCTTTTGGATAGCTTGCTTAACACTAAGGGTAATTTACATTATTAATTTTTTCTATTTTCATTTCTTTTTTTAGCTGCATTAATCCATCAATCCACATTGGTTAAAAACAAAGATATTCGTAAATTTTTGGATGGAATTTATGTTTCGGAAAAAACTAATGTTGTAACCGAATAATAAACTCGTATTTTTTTTGTATTCAAAAATTTTTAATAATAAAAATAAAAATATTGAAAACAAAAGAATTATAAAAATGTGTTTATTTTGTTTTGTTTTGTTTTGTTTTGTTTTGATTTGATTTTTTTTCGTTTGGTAAATTTCTTCTTTCTGTCTTATAATGTTTGTCTTGATAATGTTAATTTTCGTGATGATGATCTACGTGATGATCCACTTCGTGATAATTTTTTTTTACAACATTTTTTACAAATACAATAAAAAATAAATACTATAATCAATGTTGCAACTACCGAACCAACAGCAATATAAATTGTATTTAAATCAAATGAATTATTATCATTTGGATGATCAGTAGTAACACTTGAATGATCAGTAGTAACACTTGGTGGATGATCAGTCGGATGATGATGATCATCAGTAGGAAAATTTGGTACTGTCGTTCTCCATATTTTTGTTGGTGGTGTTCTAATTGTCGTGAAATGAGTAATTGGAAAAGCCATTTTTTTTGATGAAAAACTACCAAAGAAAATACTTCTTTAAAAAAAATTTCAAATCATTTTCAATAATCCAATTTTTAGGGATTATATTTTAAGCAATTTTGAAAATTCTAATTCAATTCTGGAAGAAACAAAATTGATTTTAAAATTTTAATCAAATTAGAACATTTAGCCATCGCTGACCATTCGAGATGTTATTTTACAAATTATAATTTGAAATTATTTGTAATTAATCATAATTATCAACCATTGGTTACAAAAAAAAAAAAATAAAACAAAGATATTTTTTTGTTTTGGTATTCAAAATTTTTTTTTTTAATAATAAAATATTATTAAAAATGAAAATAAAATGTGTTTATTTCGTTGGTTGTTTTTATATTTATTTATTATTTTGATTTGAATTTCTTTCATGAAGTTACTCGTCTTGATGATCGACGTGTTGAACTTTTTGATGATCCACCACTTTTTTTGAACATTTTTTTTATTTTTTTAAAATAACCATATTTATATAGTACAAATCCTATGATCGAAAATACGAGTATAATGATAATGATAATGTATATAGTAGGAATACCACCACTATCNACACTTGGTGGATGATCAGTCGGATGATGATGATCATCAGTAGGAAAATGTGGTACTGTCGTTCTATGTATTTTTGTTGATGGTGTTCCTATTGTCGTGAAATGAGTAATTGGAAAAGACATTTTTTTTGTTGTTGAAAAACTACCAAAGAAAATCCTATTTAAAAAAATTTTCAATCAATAATTCATTTTGTATGAATTATTTAAACAATTTTAAAATTCTCTAATTCAATTCTGAAAGAAAAAAAAATTTGAAAATTTAATTTGTTGAAATATTTAGCCAAATAATGAATCTTCTGTGATAGTTTGATTTGGCTTTGTTTATCAATATCCTATCAAGATCCTATTTTACAAACAACAACAACAACAAAATACAAATTAAAATCTGAAATTATTTTCAACGTTTTGTAATTAATCATAATTTTATCAACCATTGGTTACAAGAAAAAAAAATGAAAGATATTTTTTTGTTTTGGTATTCAAATTTTTTTTTAATAATAAAATATTATTAAAATGAAAATAAAATGTGTTTATTTCGTTGGTTGTTTTTATATATTTATTTATTTATTTTGATTTGAATTTCTTTCATGAAGTTACTCGTCTTGATGATCGTCGTGTTGAACTTTTTGATGATCCACCACTTTTTTTCAACATTTTTTTAATTTTTTTAAAATAACCATATTTATATAGTACAAATCCTATGATCGAAAATACGAGTATAATGATAATGATAATGTATATAGTAGGAATACCACCACTATCATCTTCTTCATTTGGTGGTGTATCCATTTTTCTTTTTCTTTTTTTTAAAAACAAAAAGATTTTTTCACCAAGAAACAAAATTTTTAGTTATTTCCAACAAAAATTTATGAAATATTTAAGCAATTTAGAATTTTTAATTCAATTTTGAAGGGAAAAAAAATTCTAAATTTTTTTTATCCCGTAACACAAACATTGAATGATTTAGATTTCAATTAAACATTTGGCCAATAATTCACGTATAATTAATCGACAATTATTTTGCCAATCTTCAGTGATGATCATTATTGATTTAGTTTCATCATCAATATCGATGGCGATTCCTTTTGAAGGCTATTTTTTTACAAACAAACAAACAAAAAACCAATCAAATTTAAATACAAACAAACAATTCATTTGTAATAAATACTTACAATTTCTAATCGATATCTTTTATCATTAAATTTATTCAATATAACATCTTGATAACCTTCGTGTGTTAATAATCGTAATAATTCATTCATATCAATCATTCCAATTAGATATTTATTTGGTGGTAATGTTTGTGTTGGCATTTGATTACGAAATTCATTACGATGATTTTTTGTTATTGGTCCAAGACGAAATTTATTATCTTTAGCTTCTAAAATTCCTGTAATGGTTGTAATTTTTATGCCATTAGCAATCTGATGTGTTGTTAATGTTGATATAAGCTAAACAACAAAAAAAAGATACAGGATCAGAATTTGAAAAAAATTTACAACAAAAAAAAACTAATCAATAAATTACCTCCGAATCGATTAATAAACGTTCATATTTACATTTGATTGGTAATTTAATTGTTTCTTTTCGATGATATGAAAACATTTTACAATCAGCTTCAATCATTGTTTCATATGATGATTTATTATTATTATTATTATGATTATCACCTGATGATGATGATGATGATGAAAATGGTCTTGTATATTGATATGGTAATACAAGATTTTTTGGTTTTATATCACGAATAATTTTGTTTGCTTGAATAAATGTTAGTCGTGTATCGATTGGACAATAAATAATTTTCATTGATAATGGTTGATATGGTGATAATGCTTCGAAACAAGGAAATTCTGGTTCAGTCATCAATATCATATTGGTTGGATTTGAACCCCATAATTCAATAAAATGTACAATATCACCAAAACGTAATGATGGATGACCAGTAAAAACAATACAAGGCATACGAAATTCATTATTAAATGATTCTTCACTTAAACTTGAAAAATGTTTTATACGACCAGATTTGACTAGTTGACCATGTGGAAATGGTTCTTCCGGTATGAATGCACGATTTTGTTTTGCTTCTGATAACCATTCGGCCATTATATTTGAATATGCTAATGAATGTTCAGCAATTGGTGATATAAAAAATATCGGTATACCACCAAGACTAACTGAATCTAAATGTGCATTCAAACATTCAAAAAGATCATAAATTTTCCCGGAAGAATAACATGGAATAAGTACATTGCCACCATTTTTTAATGTTTTTTCAACATGATCACAAAATTCATTCAAACGTGTATTTGGATTTGTTGTTGGTGCCAATGATAGTGATGTTAGAATAACTAAATCAGCATTTTTAAGTGGTAAATAATCCATTGGACGAATATGTGTTGTATAGGTTGATGAACTAGAAATGTTGACAATTTTTTCATGTGCACTTTCAATAATCCAATTACTTGATCCAAGACAATATCCAGTACTGATTGGATACCAATGTAATGATCCAAAAATACTCTGTGTAAAGATCAATTAGCCGGTTTATCGATAACAATAAAACAATACTTACAATTTTTTCGGAAAAAGCAACGGGTTTTATTTTCGATAAACAACTACTAATTTCATCCATTGAATAAATATTTTCCAATACAGTGGGTAAAATTGAATCAGGAAAACATGGAAATGGAAGATGTTGAAAAATATTTAAATTTTTCCATGCTGTTGCACGTTTAAGTTTTGGATTTCGTTCAATATAGGTAACCAATTCTTCCATAAATAAACGACCAATATTCATTGATGGTTCAGTTGCATAAACAAAACCATTAAAATCAGATCTTTCCGTAATGAATGGTAATGCCAACATTGAACGATAATTTGATATTAGAATTACATCGATATTTTTCATATCTATGTAAGAAAACTGATCATTTTGAAATGATAAACAAAAAATTTCGATTATAAAAAAGAACAAACAAAATATTTTTACCTCTGGTAGACAGAATTCCGGCGCACTATCAACAAAAATTTTACCCAAACATTCTTTGATTTCCTTCATGTAACAACAATAACAACAAATAATAAATTTAAAAAAAACAAAAACAAAAAAATGCCAACATACATTTTCCAATAAAGGTTCAACAGTAAATTCTTTGGTTGCATTCCAACTTGGTAATGAATTAAAATGATTACTATGTACTAATGTCATTGGTAAAAATGATAATACAGTGGTTGAATCCAATGAACAATCCAACATAATATGTGTTGATTTAAATTTAATTATATTACATGGATAATTAGGATTACCGCTTAAGCTTATCTAGAAACAAAAATACAAATTCATTTAATTGATTATATAAATATGACATTTAGAAGACATACAAATTTCATTTTGAATTTGAAAACAAAAAACCAAAAAATTCAAAAATCGTAAACAAAACCTCAAAAAAAAATATTCTTTTACAAAATGAGTATAATTTGTTTTTGGAATCGAATACGATAGATGGCGTAATAGTATCGATATCGGTATCGATATATCGAATTCGAATTTTGATTTTGATATAATTATCACATCCAATTTTGTATTTAGTTGGCTATATTTAAACAAATAAAAATGGCCGGTTAAAAAAAAAATAATAATCCCGTTTCTTTTTCTTTTCATACAAAATAAAAGAAAAATTCAAATTTTATAAAGAAAAATGCCGAAACATGATGACGATCCAGGTAAATTAATCAATCTTTTTTTTTGGCTAAATTAATTAATTTTCTTTTCTTTTTTTTGTTGATCAGATTTTGTAGATAGTTTTTCATTGACAACTATCATTGTTTTTGTATTAATTGCTTTGATTGTATTACTTTCATGTATAAATTGTTGTATAATGACTTGGCGTATGTGTATGCGAAAATGTGGAAGAAGTTCATCATCATCATCATCACGATCATCAAGAGCATGGTCTCGTTCATCATCTCGACGATCATCAAGAAGAGGAGCATCAACATCAGCAATGACAACAGGTGGACAATATACCGGAGCAACAACCGGTACTAGCTGGGGAGGTGGAACATCAGTTGAATGATTGTTCATTTTTTTCTTCAGAACAAATTTTGGAAACAAATTCAATTAATAAATAAATAATTAAAAAAAAATCAGAATCAAATTAATTTGATTTAATTGTTTTTCGATTCTGTTCACTTCCCATATATATAAATCGATATTTTTGTTTTTATTTGAAAAATTTGTTTTAAACGTATTCATCAATTTCGGTCGTTTTTCCCAATTTTTTTTTTTAAATGGAAACAACTATAACAATACCAACAATACCAATGATACCAACAAGAAATACAGACAATACAGATATTTTTCCAACATCAAGTGAAAATCCGATAACAGAAACACCTGTTCCAGATGATTGGTCATCACCAGTATCAACGATTGTATTGATTGTATCTGGATTAGTTATATTCATATCGGTTTGTAATTTAACGTTAATGCTTTGTGCAAAATTATGTCGTAAAAAACGTCATCATTCATCATCATCACCATTACCATCAATATCGGCTAATATACCAATGCAACCAACAGCAACACATATTCCAGTAGTAACACATACTCCAACAACAACAACAACAGTAACAAATGTTCCAACAGCAATTCATGTTCAAACCGCAACACATGTTCCAACGCCAACACATATTCCAGCAGTGAAACATGTTCCAACAGCAATGAATATTCCAACAACAGTACCACCAACAGCAACAACAACAACAACAATGACACCGGTACAAACATTAACAAATGTTAATGTTATAGATAAACGATCAAAATTGAATAATAATGATAATCATCATCATCATAATCAACAACAACAACAACAACAACATCATCATTCATCATCAAAACGTATTAATCATCATCGACAACATTCATCGAATCATTCTAAATCAAAATCATCAACAAAAAAAAGTAAAAGTCGATCATCAGGTAATATTATTAATCGATCTAAAACAATATCATTGTCAACAAAATTGATTAAACAAATATGGAAAACAAATGAAAAAATATAAAATGAAAACAAATGAATGAATAGAAAGAATGGAAAGAAAGAAAGGTCAACAACAATGAATATTATTATTAATAATTTAGAAATATTTCTAATTAGAAAAAAAAAATCCATTTTTATTTGTTCTTTTTTTTTGAATTGAAAATAAAATGAAAAAATTTTGAATTTGAAATTTGAAAATTTGTTTCGTTTGTGTTTGGTCATATCCTTTATGGATGGAACCTTTTTTTTCGGAATTCAATTAATGTTCGAACGCGTTTATTAAACGTGAACTGTCAACGGACAAAATCCATTGTGTGTTTGAAATTCAAAACTGTCACTTATAATCTGAAACATTGTAAAAAACGAAACATGTCGAGGTAATTTATCTTGTTTTGTTTTTTTCGTAAACTCATTTTGTTTTATCATTTTGTTTTTCTCGTTCAGAATAATTGCCGATGAAGAATTGATCATATTAGATGATTCATCCGATGATGATGAAATCATTCATAATTACAAATCTATCGAATCATTATCATTAAGTTCAGGTGATTATGATGATAATAATACTAGTAATGAAGAAATGATATTGGAAAAAGATGAAAAATTTTCCATTGAAATTGATAATGGACTTGCAGCCATTTTAAAACCACATCAAATTGATGGTATTAAATTCATGTATAATTGTACAATTGGTTCAATGGAACAGCTCAAACAAAGTGCTGTAAATGACAAACAGTCCGGTGATGGATGTATTCTGGCACATTCGATGGGCCTTGGAAAAACTCTTCAAATTGTTGCTTTCATACATTCCATTTCGACCAATGTAATAATCAAAAAATACATTCGAAAAATATTGATTATTGTTCCATATAATGTTGCGCAAAATTGGCATGATGAATTTGAAAAATGGTTCGGTAAATGTAATCGTAAGGAAAAAATTCGTTTATGGAAAATGTATGAAACAAAAACATCGATTGCTAAACGTCGTCAATTGCTGTTGAATTGGGATTTTTATGGTGGTGTAATGATTATAACAAGTCGTATGGCAACAAATATGATTGATAATTTGGATGAAAAATCATTTCGTCGATCATTAACAAATCCCGATTTAGTTATTGTTGATGAAGGACATTTATTGAAAAACAATAAAACAGCTTTCTATAAAGCATTGACACGAATCAGAACCGAACGTCGAATTATTCTTACTGGTACACCATTACAAAATAATCTTACTGAATATTTTTTTATGGTTGATTTTATCAAACCAAAACTTTTGGGTAAACATGAACGTTTCAAAACACGATTTGAAAAACCAATCAATAATGGTCAATTAATCGATTCAACTGATTATGAAGTAAAGCTGATGAAAAAACGTATACATGTTTTAACAAAAATGTTAAAAAATTATGTACATCGTTGTGATTATGAAATATTGGTACCATATCTTCCACCAAAACAAGAATATGTTATCGGTGTTCGTATGACACCAATTCAATCACGTTTATATCAATATTATATTACAAATGTTACAACTATAACTAGAAAAAATCTTTTAAATGATTCACGTATTTTAATGTTAATTAGTAATCATCCTTCATTGTTATTAAAATATCATCAAGAACGATATGGTAAAGAAAATTTTGATAATCATCATGAATTTTGGTGGCGCCAAGTTATCGATTCATTAGAAGAAAAACAAATGTTTGATATGAAATTCGGTTCCAAATTTACATTGATATTTTCGATACTTGCACAATGTGAACGGATTGGTGATAAAATTCTTATATTCTCACAAAGTATTCTAACATTGAATTATCTGGAAAAATTGTTGAATGAACAAAATTGGATGAAAAATTTGGATTATTTTCGAATCGATGGTCATGTAGAAATTAGTGAACGTCATGATGTAATCGCTAAATTCAACAATCCAAAAGATCATCGTGCACGTTTAATGTTAATATCGATTCGTGCTGGTGGTATTGGCATTAATTTAGTCGGTGCAAATCGTGCAATATTGATTGATTGTAGTTGGAATCCGGCTATCGATTTACAGGCAATTTTTCGTGTATTTCGTTTAGGTCAAACAAAACCAGTGTATATTTATCGGCTAGTTTCTTATGGTACAATGGAATGGAAAATCTATGAACGTCAAGTACAAAAACAATCATTATCAAAACGTGTAATCGATGAACAACATGTTGTTCGTAATTATACTCGTGCTCAACTTGAAGAAATGTATCGTTTTGAAGAATCACCCGATTGTATAGCCATACCTGAATTACCAAACGATAATGTTTTGGCTGATCTATTATTGATGCATGATTATGAACGTTCAATAATATCATATCATGAACATGATTCATTATTAGCACAACATCCTGAAGAAGAATTGGATGATGATGAAAAACTTGAAGCTTGGGCTGAATATACTCGAGAAAAAATCATCAAACCAGAATCAAAATCAATTTCAAATCAATTAATGATCGATGAACAAAAATTTCCATTGAATGAACCAAAAATTATCGATTTAGATATTGAAGAATTTTAATTATTTACTTTTTGTTTTATTAATAGGAAAAAAAACTTTTTCAATCATGAAATTTTAATTAATTTTACTATAGTCTTTAGTTATCATTGATTTGAAATTTTTTTAAATTAAAAATTTAAAAAAAAAATTATTTTGCAAAATATTGTCGTTTTTTTACCAACATACCACCATCACTAACAATAATTGAACCGGTAATATTTACCGCATCATTTGATGCTAAAAATGCTGCTAAATTTGCCATTTCATCCGGATAAGGTATACGATCAAGTATTGTTAATTTAGCAAATTTATCTTTAGATTTTTCAAAATGATCCGAATCTTTTCCAAGACAACGACCCATACTTGTTATAGTTGGTCCAGGGCTGTCAACAAAAAAAAAAATCGGATGGATTTCATTTCATCAATAAATCAATCAATCAATCCAAAACTTACTTGATTGAATTAACACGAATTCCTTTTGGTCCTAAATCTTGTGCTGCACCTTTAGTCAACATATCCAATGCTGCTTTCGACATACTGTATGTGAATAAAATCTATATGATCGTCATTAATTGATTTCGATTGTTTCAAATCCAGAAAAAAATCTTACCGGTTCAGCACTTGCATTGCTTGAAATATTAATAATATTTCCTTGAGTTTTTTCCAAATGTTCAACGGCTAATCGACATAAACATAACGGTACACGAACATTCAATGTAAACATTTTATCAAATTCATCAATCAATTCAGGATTATCAAATGTATCATTAGCAATACCGGTACCAGCATTATTGATCAAAATATCTAATCGACCGAATTTTTCGATAGTTTCATTAATCAATCGCTTGGGAAGTTCCGGATCGGTTTGTAAATCACCAACAATCATCAATGGTTCACGATCAGTATGTTTCATTATTTTTCTTGCAATTTGATTTAAATTTTCTGAATTACGACCAGTTATAACACAATCGGCACCATATTCCGCAAATTTACTGGCAATTGCTGCACCAATACCTGAACTTGACCCGGTAATCAATGCAACTTTACCATTAAAATCATATTTTTTATTATGATAACAAGTAGCCATTATTTCTTCAATCGAAATGAAAATGAAAAAAAATTCAATTTATTTTCCATCTTTTTATATTGTCAGAACAGGAAAGAAAAAACAATGAACAGCAGATGTTCATGTCATGAATACAACAACAAAAAAAATTATTGAAACAAACAAATCAAACATCTGTCATCGATTTGAAAAAGGAAATCAATCAACTTGATGAAAATGGAATTTCATAAAGAATTGTACGTATTAGATCGGGTGATATTTTCATCATTTTGTTGTTATCATTATTCATTATTCTTTTTTTCAATAATTTTTCCATTCTTAAATAAAGTTCAGGTTTATGTTTACGAATATAATCCAATGGATAATCATTATTATTATTATCCATATCAATATTGTTGAATAAAATTGAATCAATATTGTAAAATACATAAACCGAATTAGTAAATGTTGTATATACAAAACAATTAAGCTGTCCAATATTATCATTAAGATGATAAGAACCAACAGCAAAAGCACTGATTGGTTGATGAAAATGACAAGAAATTATCTGACCATTCAAATCGATTATGTAAACTAATCCATTTGAAACGGTTATGATTAATTCATCACATCCATTATTGTTTAAATCATATTTATGTAATGAAACGATTGGATGTTCAAGTTGTAGATGCCATTTAATTGTTTGTTGATCACTTTCAAGAAGTATTAATGTTCCATCATGAGTGGCCAATGCAATCAGGTTTTCATTTGTTGTTATTCGACGAATATCTGCAAGAATTTCAGCACTAGTCTGTCGATTTCTAGTGTATGGAACAATAGTATCACAATATTCTACTGATATTGGTTCAATTTCATTATTATCATCATTATTTTTAACGTGATCTTTATTTTCGGACAGATGTTCGCAACAGGTGATTTTGGCAAAAACACCACCAAATTGTGAAACAAGTATACATATTTGATTTTTACATATTGCAGATTTCTTGTCGTTCGTTGATAATGAATTGTCACTTTTATTGTCTTCGACCAACAGATCTGGATCATCATTATTATTGGATGAATCGAATAAATGATGTAAAGTAATCGAACCAATTTGATCAGAAAATTCCCATTTATAAAGACCAATTAGTTTGATTTCTTCGTTTAAATGAACGGCACGATAACAACGAACAACACGATCACTAAGTGCAACTATTAATTCTTGATTATCATCATGATCAAAATCGACCAACAAAGCACACATAGTATTTGATTGCATTTGTTGGCTATGAATTAAATTTAAATTAGTTGTAGATGAATAAACTTCATTATCCGAAATTGTTGGTGGTAGTTTCATATTAGATAATTGTAATGATGAATTGGAAAATTTTGGCTGTCGTCGTATGGCCGAATCGTTTGATTGATTAATAAGATCAACATGACTATCATTATACATATGAAATATCTTTAAATAACCTTCTATACTGATTGTGATGAGGCAATTCTGTAATATCAAATGCATATAATTATTATCATCATAAGGACAATTAATTGTCAAGACATAATTACCTTGCCAAAATTAAGAATATCACCAATCAAAATACATGCAATCATTCCAAGATCTTTAGTTGAAGCTTGTGGATTTTTACGATCATTTTTATAGATTAATAATTCTCCATTCAAAGTACCGATAACCAATTCATTTTTCTGTTTTTAGGATATTTAAAAAAAAATTACTGAATAAAATAAACAATCAGTCTACAATACCCCATCATTATCACAATCACCAATAGCAATAGCATTTTTACAAATATTTCCTTCAAATTTAAATTCAATAGAATCAACTAATGATAATGATCGTTGACAATTTGCATTTGATGCGGCAATAAAACTAGTTGAACTAGAACTTTGTGTTCGGCTAATCGATGTTGAATGTGATGGTGTCGATGTATCCGATGCCGGTTGATCATTTTGCTGTTGTTGTTGTTGTAGATTACCATCATCATCAATCTTATTCTGATTCATTATCTTTGAAAATTTTCAAACAAAAAATTCGAATTGCCAAAAACAACTGATCAATTGATTATTATTGGTCCATGAATAAACGACGTAATCTAAAAAAATTCTATCTGAAAATTTTATTTTTTCATTTCATTTCATCAATTTGAAAAAAGTGAAATAATTACAATTTTTTTTCTGTTTGTTTCATAAAAATTTATTGATAATAATATACACCAGATTCTAAAAATTCTGAATTGCTTTTGAATTAATTTTCGGTTTTTTTTATTTAATTATTTGTTTTTTTGATGATGACAATTTGAAATTTTTTTAAAAATGTTTAATCAGTATCTTTAGCTAATTTTTCGGCTTTTTCAATTACTTCTTCGATTGGGCCAACCATATAGAAAGCAATTTCCGGTAAATGATCATATTCACCATCCAAAATTGCTTTGAATCCAGAAATAGTATCTTTCAATGGTACAAATTTACCCGCTTGACCGGTAAAAACTTCAGCAACTTGGAAAGGTTGCGATAAGAAACGTTGAATTTTACGTGCACGTGCTACAGTTATTTTATCCTCTTCACTTAATTCATCCATACCTAAAATAGCGATAATATCTTGCAACGATTTATAATCCTATGAAAACAAAATCAACATTAAAGAAAATCAAAAATTTGTTAGCTTTTAGAGAGAAAATTTACCTGAAGAATTTTCTGCACACCACGAGCAATTTCATAATGTTCAGCACCGACAATATTAGGGTCCATAATACGTGAAGTGGAATCAAGTGGATCGACAGCCGGATAGATACCTAATTCGGCAATACCACGTGACAATACAGTGGTTGCATCCAAATGGGCAAATGTCGTAGCTGGAGCAGGATCAGTTAAATCATCAGCAGGCACATAGATAGCTTGTACCGAAGTGATTGAACCTTTTTTGGTTGTCGTAATACGTTCCTGCATAGAACCCATATCGGTGGCCAATGTTGGTTGATAACCGACAGCTGATGGAATACGACCCAATAAAGCGGATACTTCTGAACCAGCTTGTGTGAAACGGAAAATATTATCAATAAAAAGTAACACATCTTGTCCTTCAGCATCACGGAAATATTCAGCAACAGTAAGACCAGTTAAAGCAACACGAGCACGTGCTCCTGGTGGTTCATTCATTTGACCATATACAAGTGCGACTTTTGAGCTTTTATCTTTCAATGAAATAACACCACCTTCAATCATTTCATGATATAAATCATTTCCTTCACGAGTACGTTCACCAACACCAGCAAACACTGAATAACCACCATGAGCTTTAGCAACATTGTTAATAAGTTCCATAATCAATACAGTTTTGCCTACACCGGCACCACCAAAAAGACCAATTTTACCACCTTTGGAATATGGTGCCAATAAATCGACAACTTTAATACCAGTGACAAGAATTTCAGCTTCAACACTCATGTCAACAAATTCCGGAGCATCAGCATGAATTGATGCAAATTTGTTTGAACTGATTGGGCCACTAATTTTATGAAAAAAACATACAATAAAATTCAATTTTGATAAACAATTTAATGAAATGTAAATAAATAAAAATTACCGTTCATCAATTGGTTCACCAATAACATTCATAATTCTGCCAAGAGTTTCAGGACCAACAGGAATTTTAATAGGAGAATCAGTATCCAATACATCTTGACCACGAACAAGACCTTCAGTACCATCCATGGCAATAGTACGGACAACATTTTCGCCCAAATGTTGAGCAACTTCAAGAACTAATCGAGGTTTACGATCAACAACTTCTAAAGCATTTAAAATGTACGGTAATTCATCTTCGAATTGTACATCGACAACAGCACCAATGACCGCAACAATTTTACCCATTTTTTTACCACTTTTTGGAGCAGTAGCAGCTGCGGCTGCATATCGTTTTTGAGCTATTTGATTTTCATTTCAAATAAAATAATCATTATTCATTACAAAACAACAAAATATTATTATAAATTACATTGATCACATAATGCTGGTAAAGCATTTTTTGCGGTTTGATTTTGTACAGCTAATTGTACGGCCGGTTTTGATGCACGTACCAAACTGGTACAATTACGATATAAACCCAACATTGTTTGAACCGAAAAGTTTGAAATGTGATGAAACAAAAAAAATTTAAAAGATAAATTGAATTTTTTTAAAAAAAAAAGAAAAAATATCAATGAAGAAAAATGTCGAGGTTTTTTGCTCAAAAGTGGTTTTATGCGATATGCCGTCCAGGACAGACAAGCGATTGAACACAACACAACACACACAGAAATAGGAACAGAATCGAACACCGAAAAGGCAAGGAGAAAGTTGTAGGGCGAATCATAGATGCGCATGATCATCAATTTTTTTACCATCGCACGGTCACCTTTTTTTCGGTTTACCGTTCATAAGTATCGTAACCCGATAATAGTTTTAAAAATTCAACAATAGATGTCGATGGTTGAGCGGAAAAAAATGAATATTCTTTTTTTTCTATTCGATCCAAGAATTCGATTTTTATTTTTTTCATCAAAATTTTTTCAACAACAAAAAAGATTTTTATTTATTGAACAAAAACAATCAATCAATCAATCAATCAACAATCAGGTAATAATGGTCTAATTTAAACGGAAAATACTTCATTTTTTAAATCACTTTTTCGTCTAGGATGTGGTTCGGGTACTTTTTCATCATTATCATTATCATCATCATCATCATCATCATCTTTGATTTCTTTTATATCAACATTGCTTTTCGATGTTGTTGTTGTTGTTATTGTTCCACCACCACTACTTGTTATTGATCGTTTATCACGATTATCACCATCAATGTTAACACCATTCATTTCATCTACAGGAAGTTTCATTGATTCATGAAAAATTGCATGTAATGCAATTACAAATGTACATGCACCGACCAGCTATAAGAATGTATCCGAAAAAAAAGAAAAGAAAATTAGTGTTAAACAAATCAGTTTTTCAACTTTTGAAACAGAAAAAAAATTTACCCAAAAAAATGTGGCAGTCAAACCAAGTAAATATAAAATGGGAAGAAATGTAGCCGAAACGGTAATCAATTGTTGATTACGTGAAAATGGTTTACCAAATAATTCCAATTCTTGATTACGTTTAATAATTGTATAACATAGAATGGAATATATTAGTATACCGAACAATAATAATGGTGATGTAATCAAACAATAAACCAATATTATTATACTAATAGTACAATAATTGGAAAAATAAATCTGTAAATTATCTGGACATCTTTTGGCAATTTCCGATAATGATGCTGGAAAATTGAAATGTTTTTTTGAAAAAAATTGTCCCCATGAACCGGTTTTATTTGTGGAACATATTTGTGAAAAATATTGTTGTATTTGATTATATTTATCCTGTATCACCTTCATAATGTCGTCGTCGTTGTCGTCGTCTTCGTTGATGTTATTGAAAATCTAATGAAAAAAAAACAATGAAAAAAAAACAAAATCGACGATTATCGATTACCCGAATAAATCGAATGATCGAGTAAAACAAACAAAAAGACGAATTACTAACTTTTGATTGAAATAATTTTGTTGTCTGTTTTTTAACATTATCACCATTATCATTATTATTGGCACAAGGTTGTCGAATATTCGACGGATGATGATGATCTTCATCATCATCATCATCATCATCATCATCATCATCGATGTCGATTCCGTACGATGACATATGTCGTCGTTGTTCATCATTATTAGTGGCAGTTCTACCGTTATTAGAAGCAATGGATGACTTGAGAAATTTGTTCGAATCATTATTATTATGAATTCCATTACCACTATTTATGTTTCTGTAATGATGATGATGATTTTGTTGATTATCATTATCATTATCATCATTATCATCATTATCATCATTAAACAATGTTTTTATTGTCGATGGTAATGGTGATGGTGGATTCAAACGAAATGTGAATTGATTTTGCTGCATCATTAACGTTGCTGTTGTTGTTGTTGTTTTCGAAACATTATCCACAACATCAATTCGGTTTTTGTTTGTTGTTGTTGCTGTTGAAGACGGTACATTAAATTGATTATTATTATAAAAACTGTAATAATGGTGATTATTATTATTATCTTTATTGGTGTTCATCATGAAAATTTAGTAATTTTCGTTAATTTTCTTTAATTTTCGTTAATTTTCGTTTTTGTCATGAATGTAATAACACCAGAAAACAGACACGAAAGAAAGGAAGACAAATGATGATGATGGTAATACAGTGTCTGTGAATGGAAATTATTCGCGAACTTTTTTTTTTGTTCGAAATCGAACGAAAAACTTTTTTTTTTTTGGTTCGAAAAACTTTTGAGATTTTTTTTGTTGTTCGTTGTTTTGTTCAATTTTTTTCCATTTGTTCCAATCATTTTTGTACATCATTATTGAAGTTTTGAAAAAGCTGAAAAAGCTGAAAATTGAAAAATTGAAAAAATGTAAAAATCCATATAGTCAATTTGGTTTAACTTTTTGATGATTGTACAAATGATAATCGTATACGGTATCGTATCATCATTTTCCCTAAAAAATTAAACAAAATCAAATAATTTTTTTCTTTTATAAAATCTTTTTAGCAATATCGAATTTCTTTTTATTCGTTTTTTTTCGGTTGCAACATTATTATTATGATGATAATGATGATAATGGATGATGGATGAATCGAACGATGAAACAATTCAGTCAAATTAAATTGTCAACAACGAATGATTACTGATGATAATTTCTGCTTTTTTCCCGTGAAAAAACTTTAAAAAAAATATTTTAAAATTTTCAAAATTTGCTTTTAATGGTAACCTAATTTTCTCTATTCAAACCATGGTATATACCGTTAGATAATTTGTTTTTGGTTTACATTAGTGAAAGAAGAAAAAAAATGTTGAGCAAGCAACAAAAAATAAAATAACACTTAGTTTTTTTCCCAAGCTAGGTTCACCCAAAATAGATTATCATTTTAATGGAATGATTCTTTAATTGATTGATGTATGGGCCAAACACATACACAGAAAGACCAAGTGTACTAAATGTGTCCAAAATATAGAGTGATTTAATTTCAATTTCAATTTTATTCATTCAAAACATGTTTTTTTTTTGACACATTTTTTTTCTTTTGCAGCAACAACAGAAAATACATTTAAGTGCAACGAAAAAAAAGAAAGAAAGAATTTATCTTGATTTGATCATCATCATCAGCACAAATACATCGACAAACACGCAAATATCAAAAAAGAAGGGAATTAGATTCGTTAGTATTTGTCTTGTCTCTTTCCATCTTTCGGTCCAGAATAAAATATATATTCCTAATGACATTACTTAAATGATGTTTCTTTCTTTCTTTGATTTCATTCCTGGATTCTTTGTGTATTTGCTTTTATATATCTGTTTTTCTTTTGTTTTGTTTTGTTTGGTTCTTTTATTTGGTTTTTTTTATATCTTGGAAATTCTAAATTTAACCATTGATTGTTTCGAATGTTTTTCGTATTGTATAATAATAATAATTTTTTGATTCTTTTAAAACATGTAGAAAAAGAAAGAAACATTTCTCGACCTTTTTGGATTTTTTCTTTTCAAATATTCTTGATTATTCAGGTGACGACGATGATAAGAGAGAGAGAGGCAACAAATATTGTTTGATAAAGAAAAAGAAAAAAACAAACAAAAAAAAATCTTACCGATCAAACAACAACAACAACCGAAATGATTATTATTAATAAAATTAGATCTTTCTTTCTTTCTTTCTTTTCGTTTGATATGAAATGGAAACCTTATTTTCATTTTCATTTTTCATTTTCTGTTTTTGGAATCGAATAAAAAAAAATCCCCTCTATCAGATGATGATGAATGATGACGTAAAACATTTCGAAAATAAAAATGAATGAATGAAGCCAATGCGAGAAAAAAAATATATTAATATTCTCGATATTTGATTCTCGATTCTTGATTCTTGATGATGATGATGGTGTTTTGGGTAAAGTAAATATTCCATGATTCTATGGAATATTCATTTCAAGATTCGTTTCATTTTTGAAGAAAATATAATAACCATTAAAAATAGCCAATTTTTTTCGTTTTGTTTTGTTTTTGGCTGTTGTTGAACATAGAATAAACATGTTTGACATTGAAAATTTTTTTTTCTTTGGGGATCATAAATTATCATTTTTTGCTTGTTGTTGGTCGTTGTTACATAAACATAAAAAAGGGGCCAGCCAGCCAGCCAATGGTCAGATTTCATTCGGAGAAACAAATGGAAAAAAGTGAATGTTTTTTCCTTTGTTGTTCAAGCTGATGTTATTCAATGATTTTATTATCATCATCATCAAACGGAAAACGAAAATTAATCGCTTTTTTCACACAAAGACAAAAAGACACACAATCACACACACACACACACATTCGATTACTTAATTACATTTGATAACACTAAGCTGTTTTTCATGTTTGTTGGTTATGTCAAACTTCTTCGTTTTTTCTTCATCTTCACACAACAACAACAACAACAACAAGATAAAATTGTTGTTATCGATGTCCATTATAATAATAAACAAAACAAAAAATCCAATGGTCATTATATAATTAGTATAATGATCATTATACAAAATGATTTTTATCATTGTAAAAATGATTATTATTATTTAAAAACACACAAACATTCAACAAAAAAACACACTGTAATTGTAATGTGTGTGTGTGTGTTTTCTTTCTTCATCTTCTTTTGCTGATTCTCTGTGTAATTCTTTTGTTACAAGGGCAAAAAAAATGGAAAGAAAATCCCATTTACTTTTTCCATTGAAATGCGAAAGGAAAATTTTCCAAAATTGATAATGGTTTGTCGATATGTATGGTTTTTTTCGTTCTTTCACTATTTTCTTTCGTTTCTTTTCTTTTAAATGACAAATCGATTAAATAACGAAAGATGAAAAAAAAATACAAATGATAAGGGATAACAACAAATGAAAAGAAAAAGAAATTTTCTTTTTTTTCTTGAAGCAGAAAAAGAAAACATCATCAAGATTAATGATTTTCTCATTATTCTCGTTTGTTTTGTATTGTTCTTTTCTTTTCTTATTTCTTCCATTGTCAAATTATTGAACCATCCAACATCTGGTACAATCTCTAAACACATTACATTTCTTCGTATATATTTGGTTACTTTGTTGTACAGAAATCTGAAATTATTCTTCTTCAGAAGAAGAAAGAGATCTTCAAATTTCTTTCTTTCTTTTTTTCCATTCGCTCACTTCAAATAGAAAGAAAAAGAAAACTGAAAGCGCAATATTGATGATGATCATGGCTGAACAACAACAACAACAACGATGGTGAAACAAAGAAAAAAAAATGAAACAAAGAAAAAAAATTTTTAATTCAAAATTGAGAAAAATTCAATTATTCGACAGCAACAAACAACACGGATGATCAATCAAGATGATTATGATGATAGAATTGGATGAAAGATTTCATCATTTCATTTGTCGTCACAAGTGAGGGGTAAATATTGAATTTTGTTGAAAACGAAAATTGAAAAATTTTCAACATTTTTTTTTCTTTCAGAAAAAAAAATCCATTGACCAAAAGGGACAAAAAACTGATGATGATGATGATGGTGATGAAAGACATTATTGAATCAATATTTGTTTGTTTGATGGTGATGATGATCGTAGGCTTGTATTTTAGATCCAAATTGAACAAATAATAATGAAAATAATGATGGAACATTTCAGCAACAAACAACAAACGAAATGATAATTTCAAATTTTTTTTTCAACTGAAAAAAATATGGAAAATAGAAAATGCATTACAGTGAAGCCAACTTTTCTTCTTCTTCTTTCCATCATTGGTTTTCTCTAAAAATTCAGTTTCGTATACCCCCAAATAATAACTATGGGTTAATTTTGACACAGAAAAATTTTCAGGAAACATTATTTTCCTTCTTTCCATTTCTTTCTTTCTTTCATCTCATTCGCTTCCTCTTCATGTCAAGTTTGTCGATGTTGTTGTCGTTCAAGTAAAGTTTTTTCCTACTCCTTTTTTTATTCAAAGTTTTTCGTTATTGTTGTTGAATTGCGAACACAAAAAAAAACCCATATTATTCAAAAAAAAAAAATAGCAACAAAAAAAAACACAAATTTTTCTTCCAAAAAAATGTTTTTCATAATTAATAATTAATAAGTTACATCATTATCATCATCATCATCATCATTATTGCCATCAAATTATTGTCAAATTTCATTTTTTCATTTTTTTCTGTTTGATTAATATTCTGTTCAATGTTTTTCTTTCTTGTCCTTGTTCTTTTCTTTTCTTTTCTTGTTGTCGTTACCAGAATCACATGAATATTTGTCGAACCAAAAATAACAACAACAACAAACAAACAAACAAGAAGCAAATTAATTTGTCACATGATGATGATGATGATAACTTTTCAATTATGATTATTATGCATAATGGTGATTATGTCTGTTTTTTTCCCGTTATTCGGTTTTTCTTCAGTTATTCGGTTTTCGTCGGGAAAACCAAAAAAAAAAGTTTAAAAATTTTAAAGAAAATTAAAATTAAAAAAAAAAAGTTTTACGAAAGAGAAAAACTGAACACTGAGGCTTTATCTATTTATTGTTAAATTGAAAAGGTTTTTTTTTCGCTTCCAAACCCAAAATAGATTTGAATTTGTTTTCTGTTTGTATGGAAATTTCATCTCATTCAAATTGATTTGTTTTTTGTTTTTGGAAAACAACCAACCAAAACAACAAAAACAAACAAACAAAAAGACCTGATTTTGATGATGATGATGATGATTTAAAATGGTTAAAATATTCAAATCTACCCTTCAACAACAACAAATAAATGGGGAAAAAACAATAGAAAAAAATGGCCAATTCAAAATGACAGAAATCCTTTTTTCCAGCATTTTGCGTTTTTGTTCATAAAACAAAAAACGCAAAAATTTGAATTTTAAAATAATATTTTGAATATATAAAAAGTTTGCTTTTGTTTTGTTTTTGTTTTGTCAAACAATCATTTCATATTGAATAATAATTTTCAAACTTTTCAAAAAAATTTGAATTTAAATTCTTTGCTTTCAGAAATGAATTTTCTCCATTTTTTTCCCGTTTGTTCAACTGGATAGGAAAGAAAGAATCAATCTTCTTCTCTTGATCGATTTTTTTCTCGAAGCAAAAAAAACTTTTAAACTTGGACATTTGGATTCGGATATTATAAATCCAAACTGAAGAAATCCAAACAG